AAGTAATCATTGCTATCATCCTTCAGAGATTCGAGGTTAAATTGTCCCCAAATTACCGGCACCACCCAGTCATTACAGGACCCCTGATCCCAAAGAATGGCATGCCTGTCATACTCAAGCCAAGGCAGAACTTCTAAGACAACAAATTTTAAAATAAATTTGTCTAGATATAAAAACCTTTATTCATGTCCAAAAAGCAACACTCGGCATTTGCTCTGAGAATCGTGTTACACGGACGGAGGGGCAACAACATCGATTACCCTTCCATGTACATGTTGGTCAGGAGAATGTAGCCAGCTGAATCCATAGCGGCACTCATAGCAGCCCGCAACAGAAACCAGCACGAAGGGCATGTTGTTGAACAGATCCTTGGCAAAACAAGAAACCTCCCCATATTCTTGTCACTGAAATCTGTCCAGCCTTCTCGTAAGGATCATCATCTTGTGAACATCCGGCCACCCATTGTCGATGCAGTCAACGATGTGGGATCTTCTTGTACAGCAGAATACACTGGAATTGCCTGCAGAATACACCAGAATTGCCTGCAGAAGCTCCTTGCTCTTGTCTCCTCCTTGTAATGGTGCTCCACACTTGATCGCCAAGGGATAGTGATCTCGCAAGCCGAACATGCTCGGCCAGAAATTTTGAACTTGTGAAGCTGCCATAAGCCCCAGATGCCCATTGTGCGCAAATGCTCCCAGCCTGATCGTCCAGGCGATTTCATCCCACTGCAGCATCAGATTCAGCAGATATAGCTTGAGATTCCCAGCGGATACATTTGCCACATATTCCAAGAGACTACATCACTTCGAAGAAATCTCAAAGAACAGGGATTCAGTCCCCTTCTCGGCAAATGCCTGAAACATCATGGTAAGTAAGACCAGGCTTTGGCAAGGTATCGAATTGAACACACCATCCCAGCGACAGTGTGGACCTGAAAGGCATGCAGGCACATACATGCTTTGTGTCAGTCACCTCAGAACCCAACTCCCACCCATGTGAGTGAGCTCACCCAGATTGCAGGTATAATTGTAGCTAATTAGTTAATTGTTGGCAAATGCGTGAAAGCTTGATATTTACAAGTCACTAGTGGCTCCACCCTGGGCAAGCTCCGCTATGAAGAATAATGAAAGCTACCTATGTGGAGCAGGCTGCCAGATCAGGTGTTCCAAGCATTTTCTGGACGAAGCTTGGGGTGAAATACAACCAGCAGCACACCAAAGATTCTAGAAAAGCTAGCAGGCATGAGCTTGATGAGCTCGAGCTTTTGAGTCTACTGGCTTGTGAGCAAATAAGACTTCGTCACTTACAACCTGGGCCATCCTTTGGAACCGCAACCCAAGTCTCCCCGACGCTCGAGACCCGCCTTGCCGCCATGTCCACCACCGTCCTCTTGTCCTCGCAGCACAGCACAACAGTGCCATTGACATACACAGTCCCTGTCTTGGTGCCAGCATTCTTGGCATCACACAAACACATTGTGCGTTGTTTGCCACAATTATAGCCCAGCAATTGCCTATGCATATGGCTAAACACAACAAGCGCCACCCTGGATACATCCCGCTCCCGGACCATTTCGAGAGCCTGAGCATCTGGATCGCCATGATCTCCACCACCTTTGTCAAAATCCTTGCCGCATATGTCACTGGGCTGAGAGCCCAGGCATGCTGGCCCGTTGTGGCCGAGGAACACGAGCGAGTGGCCCTTAGGTGCAAACAGGGCCAGGTGCATGATCTTTGCAGCGCTCTGCTCCATGTTGTCCATGCTGTAGGTGAGTCTTTGCGCCTGCACCTGATGTGATCGTCTCCCAGAGCTTCGAGTATCTAATCCACTTGTGCCCACCTCTTGGTGCTCTTCGACTTGGGCATGGGCTTGTGCGTGGCGGCGTAGCAGCAGTCGTGGTTGTTTAGGATCACTGCCTTGGGGCATTTCGAGCTTGCTTATCTTTTGCACAATCTAGACGTTCTCATCACCAAAAGTCGCTCACAAACAGCACTAAATCCGGCTTGAGAAGCTCCAGGGCTTGGGCATCCAACTGCAAGTCCCATGTGTCATGGACGTCTCCCACAATCACAATCCTGATCTTCCCCATGTCTTGAATTGTAGGGTTTTGCTTCATTCAGACCTTTTTTACTTTAGAAAAAAACGATGATATTACCTTACAAATCATGGAGTGAGAACTAGAACACGGTATCACGCAGCGCAAAGTTGCTTCCTCATGGTTTGCATTTGGAGAGATAAGCGTGACTGCGATTGCTTCACGCTCTCCCTCCCGCAGCCACCATCGTGCTCTCGCTCTCGCATCTCCTCTTGCCTCTTGCGGGCCTCCTCTCCCGTGAAGAGCACCAGCGACTCGCCTAGCATCTCGGCAATCTTGGACGCCATCTCCGCCGCCTGATGCCTCTCTGGGAACGCTGGCGCCGGGAAGTGCTGGCTGAGCCAAAGGTACATGGACAGCAGCTGGTGCCGCGTCTCCAAGTCGTAGATCCCCGCGTTGTCGCTGGCAGTCCTCTGCGGCATCCCCATGGACAGCCTCACCGGGATCTTCCTGCTGTAGGCCGACGCGAAGCGCTGGAGCGAGCCCATGGACTTTGGATCCCGGCTGTTCACCGGGGCAAAGCAGAAGTTGTACTCGTCTTCGAGGGACAGCCCGCCGATGGCATCCAGCGCCGCCGCCACCTTCTTCAAGTTGTCGTTCTTGCACAGGAAGTACGTCCCGTCCAGCCGGCAGTGCTCCGAGAAGCGGTCCAGGAGCTGGGAGAAGGTGATGTCCGGGAGCTGGCTGGCGAAGAGCTCCAGCTGCTCGAAGACCGGGAAGAGGCCGGCGCTCGGCGCATCTTCGAATGGCTGCTTCATGCACTCGACCAGGTAGGGGATGTCCGAGGCGTAGAGCGTCGTGACTTGTCCCTCGGGATACAAGCTTCCGCGCCTCCCGGCTCGTCCGGCGATCTGCTTCACCTGTGACGCTGGAACTGGAATGCGCTGCTCGCCGTTGAACTTGTCCAGGGAGTTGAAGATGACCCTCCGGATGTTGAGGTTGAGTCCCATTCCAATCGCGTCGCTTGCCACCAGCACGTCGTATCCACTGCTGGGATCGTTGAAGAGCTTGGCTTGCTGCGTTCTCGTCTCGGGTGGGAGAGCTCCATAAACCACACAGCACTTGTGCTTGGTTCTCTGCTCGATTTCCAGCTTGACTTGGAAAATCTCCTTTCTGGAGAATGCCACCACGCAGTCCCCGGCCTCGATGAAGTCGAAGTTGCCTTTGGCAGACGTCCGGTCGATGGTGAGCGGCTTGAACCTCTCGTAGTGATGCTCCACAAACTCGTCACACGTCGCGGCACACAAAGTTTTGTAGAGCTCCAGCGCGCTTGGATCGCCACAGAGGTGGACTTCATCGGCCCGCAGTGCTAGAAAAGCTCTAGTCCAGGCCCAGCCTCGAAACTCATCTGCTGTCATCTGGACCTCGTCAATGACTGCCACTGACCAAGGCTTTGTGAGCACGGCCATCTCCACGGTGGAGGCAAGGTGAGTTGCAAAAGGAACTTCCCTCCTCTCCTGGCCAGTGTGAAGACTGCAATAAACTCCGGACATGTTGGACTTCTCGTAAATCTCCATGGCCAGGAGACGCAGCGGGCAGCAGTAGATGCCAGTCTCAGCTTGCAAAAACCGTTGGAGAGCCGTGTAAGTCTTGCCACTGTTCGTCGGGCCGCAGTGGTATATCACCTTTCTCTTCATGGCCCTAGTGAATGGAAACCAGGCGTGTGGCTTTGTCAGGTCCGCGGACGTGACTAGCTCCCTGTATCTGGTTATCTCGTTCGAGAACTCGGAGATGCAAAACTCAGCAAATATCGGGAAGAGGTACTCCTCAGCTTCATCACAAGGTCCCACTTTGAGTAGCACGTCCTTGAGAAGCACCGGACATTTCGCCGTGAAGAACTTCCGGAACTTGCTGACAGCCTGTGGGAAGAACTTGGAGTTGATGTAGACGGCGAGAGCCTGCGTTTTTGCCCACCCTCTCTCGGCAAACCTGTCGAGAACCGCTCCAAGCCGGAGCTTCTCATCGGGAGTCAGTAGCAGCGGTGGCGACTTCACCATCGCCTGGAACAACGCAGTGGGGTCGGCAAACCCCTCGGGAACCATTTCTGGCAATGCTGGCTTCGCCACCTTCTTCTGTTTCTCCAGATCCAGCTCTTCTTCCTGGAACACATCTCCATCGTCGCCAACGGCTTGGAAGTACTTCCCCAAGTCCAGCTTCTCAGGCTGCTTGTTTGGTCTTCTTCCCGATCGTCTCGTTTCCACCTTCTTAGAAGCTGGCGGAGACTCAACAACGATCGAAAGAGCATTTGCTAGAGGAGGAGCTCCAAGGACTTTCTCCTCGAGAACTTTCTCTGCCAGAGGACCACCGAGAGTTGTTTGTTCGAGGGCTCTATCTGGTTGAGAAGCTTCTGTTGCTTTGTTTTGGGCCTCATTCTTAGTGTCTGTCGTGGAAGAAGTCTTGATATCTTTCTTCTTCGCTCCAAGAGCTTTCTTCTCGAGAACCATTGCTTCCTCATTCTTAGCTTTGATTGTGGAAGAAGCCCCGACATTTTCGTTTTTCGCTGTAACAGTTTTGAGATTCTTCGATTTCTTGTCTGCGGTAGATTTCACCTCAGCAGTCTTGGCCTTAGATTTCGTCGCCTTGGCATTCTTCGTTGATGGAACCACCTCGGCATTCTTCGTTGAAATCGCCTCGGCATTCTCATGCACTGCAGCAGCATCCTTCACCTTCTTTACGCGCTTAGGCCCAGCGCTCCCATTCCCAGTAACGACGGTGCAAAATCCTCGTCTCGCTGCTCGAATCTCCGAAGCGTCAAATGCAGGCCTGAATCCGACAGCCGCCGGATCAAACCACCTGTGAACAAACCGAGAGCCTTGGAGCTGCCGCTGAATCTGCGAGTGCCGCGAGAGGATCCGCCACAGGGCCTTCATCCACCAAGAGCCCTAATTGCAAGAACCCTAACTAAACCCCATCGCTTTACTTTAAAACAAAAGAAACTAGAAAAGCCTTTTAAAGCCATTTTATCTCGATGAATGGCTATGGATCGATGCGGTTGGAAGAGCTCCATCGCCTCTACTGGTATGATCTTTAGCGCCTCCATATACCACACTCCTAGAGTCGTGAGAAATGCCGCTCCAGAGATTGATTCCACGCCCCAAACAGCAGGCGACGAGAGTAGTTCTTCTCTCTCGCAGCGAAGAGTTTCCCTCGTCACAAAGCCCACCAGAGCTCCTGTGCTTTCCGATAGCACCGCGAGTATTGTTACTCCAGAGTCTTCGCGAAGTAAAAGTCCGGATAGAAATTCCCAGCACGGTGTCTGGGACTTGGATTTAATGGATGTCCAGCAGCAGCCAGAGAATCCGAGGCCTGGAAGTAGCACCAATCTTTTCGTCGTCAAACCTCCACACAAGGATCGAAAGACGAAGAAGAAAAGAATGGAAGAAGAAGTACCGCACAACAAGAAGATATCTTCGCAGGCGGCCATTGGACTTCTCAAACGCTCCGGCGAAGAAGCTGTGACTTATATGCAGGGCCTGGTCGGCCTCGTCAAGAATCGGCCCTTCCTGTGGGACGAGGCAGGTCAGCTTTGTCTTGAAACAAACGAAAGAACTCACCGTTTTGCTTTTTTTTCTTGTTTTTCGTTTTCCTCTCGTCCAGATTATGCAAGAACTTGAAGCTCGAGGATCGCGAATCAAAGCCTGCGAACTCTTTTCTTTCCTCGACAAGCAAAGCGAGTACAAGCTCCACGAGCAAAACTGCGTTTGCATCATCGGGATGCTGTCACGAGAAGGAAAGCTGGGATTAGCGAGGGAAGTTCTCGAGGAAATGAAAAAGAAGAAGCTCAAACTCAGTGCAGTACCTTACACGATGCTGATTCATGCGTAAGCTGTTTAAATCCACTTTCTCAAAACGTCTTTGTGTGATCGATGGTGGAATCAGGTACGTGAAGCACGGTCTCGTGGAAGACGCTTGCAGCTTGTTCTACCGGATGATGAAGGATGGCTGTGAGGCCACTGTAGTGACTTACACCGTCATTATACACGGCTACCTCCGGCAAAAATCCAAGCTCGACCATGCACTAAGGCTTCTTGAAGTGATGAAAGAGAGCGGCAAGAAACCCGATGAGATACTCTACAATTGCCTCGTAAATGGCCTGGTAAACAGCGGCCGACTGGAAGCGGCAGAAAAGATCCTGGACGACATGAAGCGAGACAAGGTGTCAGCCAACTTGGTCACGTACACAAACCTGATTAAAGAGTATGCGAACACTGGAAGGTTGCAAGACTGTCGAAAACTCTTCCAGGAGATGAAAGATAAGGGAGAGTCTCCAAATTCCTGGACTTACAACGCGCTCATCCAGGGATACGGGAGGAAAGGCCTGTTCAAAGAAGCATTAGAGCTCTACGACGAGATGGACGGAGTTGGCTGCGCGAAGGACGTGCATACTTACAACATCGCCATCGCAATGTATGGCAAGCGAGGCCTGCTCGAGGACATGGAACGCCTGCTAGACGAGATGGACACCAAAGGAGTTCCTCCTGATCAGGTAAGAAACTTAAAAGAGATAGAGGAACGGAAGAACTAATTAGAGCTTTTTACCAGGTAACTTACAACACATTGCTCGACGTTTACGCGAAAAAGAGCTACTTCGTGAAGGCTCATGAAATCCTGAGAGAGATGACCGAGGCTGGATACAGGCCAAACATCTGGACTTACAACATCATGCTGAGCTCCGCTAGAAAGGAGCAAAGCGTCGCGGAAGCTACGCAGCTCTTCGAGAATCTCAAGTCGAAGGGAGTCGTTCCAAACATCGTGACTTACAGTGCCATGCTCAGTCTCTACGGCCGTCACGGACTTTACACTGAAGCTGCGAAGTTATGGGACGAGATGATCGAGGCAGGATGCATACCGTGCATCATTGCCTACTCTGGACTGATCGAGAGCTACGGCCACCATGGAATGTATCAGGTACGTAACGAGTTCCTACAAGAAAAAGAATTTAGTTTCCAGTTGAAAGCGGAAGCAAAAGGGAAAGCTTACCTCCAGAACTTTGTTTGCAGGAAGCTCTTGCTTGTTTCCAGGACATGAGAAAGTCCGGCATCGTTCCAGACACCAAAATCTACACAGCTCTGATGGATGCTTACGGAAAAGCTGGCCGGTGCAGAGAGGCCGAACTCCTATACTTTGAAATGACCAAGGAAGGTTTCGTGCCAGACGGGATAACTTACGGCATCTTGGTTAGAGCGTTTGCCAATGCAGGCCGGCTTCGCGAGGGCCTCAAGTACCTCAAGATCATCCTCGAGTACGAGGAGCCAGAGAGTTACCTGTGCCAGAGGATCATCAGCCGGTACAAAAGCTTTTACGAGATGCATGCCGAGGAGTCGAGTGAGGAGGACGACGATGACGACGAGGAGACTGAGATGGAGTCTAGTGAGGACGAAAGTAACGAAGGCGAGAAGCACCAAAACTCTCTGTAAAGTTATATTAGAAGAAGAAAGAACACGAGATCTTACTCAGGAAGACGGCCCTGCTCCGGCTGCTGCTGGCATCTGAGCTTTAAGCTGCTCCGCGTCAGCCCGTCTTCCAGCTTTCAGGAGACCAGCACGGAGGATTCCGTAAGTCACACTGTCCGGCTTACAGTTGTTCTGGATCATCGTGTCCTTCAGCGAGAGCGCTTGGTCTGTTCGTCCGACGTCACACAGTCCCCCGATGAGGATTGTATAAGTATAGGTGTCTGGAACCAGGCCTTTTTTCTGGAGCTGCTCGTAGACTTGGAACGCTTCGCTTATGAGCTTGCGCTGGCAGAGAGCCGACATGAAACTGTTGAAGTGAACCAGCTCCGGAGACGCCAGCTCCCGAAAGACCTTTCTGGCATCGTCAAGTTTCCCGTGCTTGGAGAAGGTGCTTATGAGCAAGTTGTGGAAGAAACTACCGAGATCAAGTCGAGCCCTGTGCTTCTCCAGAAATTCCTGAACAAGTTGAACGCATCCTTCTTTGCAAAGCCCAATGAGTAACGGCATATATGACGCTCGGTCGGGTACGCAACCTCCTTTGGAGACCATCTCGTCAAACACGTCTACTGCAGCCTTGAAGTTACCATCCCTGCGAAGACTGTTTATGAGAACTGTGTAAGTCACGACGTCTGGATTATATCCAGAATCCGCCATTTCCTGTAGGAAGTCCCTGGCTTCATCAGTTTTCCCTTGCAGGCAGAGGCCGTTGATGAGACTGTTGTACGTGTACAGCGTGGGAGAACACCCATTCTTAACCATTGTCGTCGAAAGCTCAAAAGCCTCCTCCACCTTCCCTGCCTTGCACAACCCGTCGATAAGCTGATTGTAAACGATAGCTGGAGGTATACAGCCACGCTCAGCCATCACGTCCAGGACTGCCAAGGCCTCGGAGAACTTGGAAAGCCTGAGGAAACCATCTACGAGGCGGCCGTATGTGAACGTCGTCGCTTCATACTTGCCTTCCAGCATCTTGTCGAGCACATTGCATGCTTGCTCCAGAAGCCCCTCTCTACACAGCAAGTCTATGGTCATGTTGTAATCGCTCTCCTTCTTCAGCAGGCTCCACACTGTCCAGGTCCCGTCGTCAGCAGCCTTCGACACGGCATCTTGCGATCCAGCTTGAGCGACCATCATCCTGAAAATCTTACTAGCAACTTCCGGCTTCTTCATGTCGTAACACGTCCGGATCAGATGGTTGACAACCGAGTGATTGAAGTTCTTGCTGCTAGTCATGTCCTGTACGATGCCAATGACTTCCTCGGAGTGGTTCTCCTTGAGCAGGCCCGAGACAATGGACGCGTATTCCTTCTTCTTAAGAGTGTAGCCACCGTCGTGCATCTCCTGGAGAACACCTCGAGCTCCCTTCCCCGCTAGCCTCTGAAGGAGTAGCCTGTAAGAGTGAAAGCTGTGCTTGGAGAACACCTCCTGCTTGGAAGCCCAGTTGAAGAAACGCAGAGCGACGCTACCATCTTTCACTTGCTCTAGCACCTTATTCACGGCCTTGTGTCCGACTGACCCCTTCCACTGCTGCATTACGTCGTCCAAAGCCTCCCCTTGCGGCCTCTCCTTCAAAGACTCCAAAATCATTCCCACAACTGCTTCATCTAGCTCCTCCGGCGGATTTGCTACCTGTGCCTGAGCTACACTTGCCAGAGAGCGCGACCCATTTGCTCCAATGGACCGAAATGCCGCAAACCGGAAGAAGGCGCTCTTCGCTCTCAGCATCGCAAGCACCATACTACCCAGGGTTTTAGGGTTTAACGGCCATGGGTGGTGTTCATGAAACGTTCAACTCCTTGTATTTCGCTCGATCGTCTTCCTGAAGCTCCTTGTTCCCTTGTTGACATTTTCAGTCGATTCCACAGCCTGGAAAGCAAACAGACGTGCTTATGAATGCTAAAACATGCACACACCTGTTGATACAAAAGCTCGATTTGTTGAGATTGCTGGAAGACGTAGGAAGAGAAGAGATGGTCCAAAGCCGACACCTCGAGCATTTTTCTTTTTTCTTTTTGTTCCTTACTATCCTGCTCAACCTTCTGGATGCAGCGAGAGAAAAAATCAAGAAAGTTCTTGAACATTGACGAGTAGCAGGGTAGCTCGGTTATGAGCAGGTTCGTTGGGGTGCTGTTGCCAGCCCCACGAACTCAACGCAATTCGACTGGGTCCTGGCCACCTGCATCTGGTGTGTTCAAACGTGCGCAGTTGTGACGGAGAAATTGAAGGAGATTTTCAGAAGTTAAATCCTTCTCCTCGACGATTAAAACTTTCAACAAGGGAAACAAGAAGCTCAGGAAGACGATCTAGCGGAACACAAGCAGTCGAACGTTTCTCCTTGACGATTCTTCCCGCTTTCGCTGCTCTTCCTCGTGGTACAATGGCTAAGAAGTCGCTGAAATAAATGATCTTTTATAGGAAGAAAAACAAAAACTTCAAAATTGAAATACATAAAAATTCCCCGATCCCACTACCCTCTGCCAGCAGCTTGTGCAAATATGGGTTGTATACATAGGGGCCATCACACTCGTTGTAACATAAGAAATCTACCTCAGCCTCCAAAACATTATCAGCCAAGAATATAAACGTTTTGCTCGCAAGCTTGAAGACAGGCCCGAGCATTGATTACGTTAGGTTGTGATCCACTGTTTGGAGCGGGTGCGCGCTACAAATGAACGAGACGAGAGAGCTCAAATGCATTGCATGCATGTAGGAGTACAGTCCTTTGCTCCTTAGTTAGGCTCTGAGTGAACTGTAAACACTTCATACTGTTGGTTGCGCTGACTACATCAGAGTTGGCCATAAGAAACACCACCACACAAGTCTTATAGCATCCGTGTAGCCTTTTCATGGCCTATCTCCATCCGAGCTTAGGGGAAAACATAGTACCTGTTTGTGAAACTCACGTTGAAATGCAGAATCAGGGGGGAGTACTGATCGCATTTCTTGTCCTCATCCTAGTGCAGCCTACGTCAGTGAAATTACGAGGGAAAACATAAGTTATCTGCAATTCCCAGCGTTTTAAGACATTGCCTGAAGGAACTAATAACGAGCGTAACCTGAAGCTTTCTTGTCGAGAACATTGCATGCTTGCTCTAGACACGCAGCAAGTCTATAGTCATGTTGTAATCACTCTCCTTCAGCAGGCTCAACAATGCCTAGGCCCCGTCGTCAACTGCCATTCTGGACGGCATCCTCTTTGTTTTGCAATCCAGCTTGAGCGACCATCATCTTGAAAATCTCAAGGCAAGCAACCTTGTCGTAACACGTTCGGATAAGATTACCGAGTGACTGAAGTTCTTGTTGCTCGTCATGTCCTGTACGATGCCTCTCGGTCCTTAAGCACGCCCGAGACAATGGACGCGTATTCCTTCTTTTTAAGAGTGTAGCCGTCGTCGTGCATCTCTTGCAGAACACCTCGAGCTTCCTTTCCCAAGCGAGGTGTTCCCTAAGCACAGCTTTCACTCTTACAGGTTACCCTTCAGAGGCTCGCGAGCTGAAGCCCAGTCGAAGAAACACAGAGCGATGCTACCATCTTTCAGAAACTTATTGTTAGCCATTGTACCAGTCGAGGAAGAGCAGCGACAGCGGAAGGATAGTCAAGAACATAAGGAGAAACGTTCGACTGCTCGTGTTCCGCTCGATCGTCTTCCTGAGCTCCTTGTTTCCCTTGTTGACATTTTCAGTCGCTTCAACGGCCTGGAAAGCGAATGGACGTGTTTTTGAATGCATCTTAGAACAAGCACAAACCTGCTGATACAAAAGCTCGATTTGTTGGGATTGCTGGAAGACGTACGAAGAGAAGAGATGGTTTAAAGCCGACACCTCGAGCATCTTTCTTTCAGTGTCTTCCGCTGTATCTAGAAGGTTGGACAGCTCTTCCTGGAAACAGAACAGGAACACTGAGAAAAAGGATATCAAATCTCTACCTGCAGAGCTCTAGTCTCGCTGTCAAGAACAATCTGTGCCTGGGAAGGCTGAAGTTCTTGAAGATTTTCCCTATTGAACGAAGTAGCAGCAGCGGTTCTGTTGGATAGCTCGGCTTCCAGCTGAGCAGTGGCAGATTGGAGGTGAGGCCTTCGTTTTGGTAGTGTTTTATCCAGCGCCTTCTGAAACCTGGAAGCTCTTAAGGCATCAAATATGGTTGTCACTGCATGCAACTTCTCGCTGAGCATCAACACCTGAAAGAGCCATGCATAAAACAACGAAAGTCTAAACCCTCTAGAGACTCTTACTATGCCGTGTTGGTGTGCATTCAAATCAGCGTTTACGGCTCCTTTCCAAAACGATTTTTTTCCACCCGCGATACTGTTCTTCAAGTCGTCAATTCGTTGCTTGCAAGCCTTGACAGATAACCCCACCTACAAAACGAAAGAAGAAAGAACATCACATTCCAAAAAAACAGGAACAAGCACAAAACTTCACCTCGTGTTCGATGTTGTCTCGTTCTTCCTCAGTACATCGTTGTCGATCCAGATAATCCTTTCGTCGCTCCAAAATAAACGATTCCATTGTCCGAATGTGACCAAGCTGCATGAAATCCAATCCGCACACCAGAATCACGAGCGCGACAAAGGAAAAACTCGAGCAGCGATTACATACAATCTCCAATGCTGCTGCTGTGAAAGGCAGAAGCTCCAGTGTCCTGTGCATTATCAGAGATGAGGCGATCTTGACCTGGACCGGTCCGTAAGAAACATCTCTGCAAAATCTAAGCGCTGGATCGCGAAACCTCACCTCATCACATTGTGGAATCGATGCCGCCGCTGCCCGCACGGCATCCCTAAACGCCTCGGTGCGATCACGTCGCGCCAGCGCCATTCCTCTGTTCCAAAAAACCCTAACAAAAGCCCATTCGTTTATTTGGTTCCTTTTATTCCTTCACTTATTTCCGCGTCAGAGAACTCAAGATCTTAGCTAGAGCTTCCAAGCGCCTCTGGGATTCCAGGACCTTCCAGCGAAATATCGCGAATTCCAGCCTTGGATCGAAGAATGCAGTCTGGATCCGGCAGCGCAGGCATTGCAGCGCGGGGATTGGTACAGGATTTGGCGTCGGCTCCAAGCTCCAGCACCGATTCCAGCAGTTAATGGCACGCAATGAAGGGCAAATCCTCCGCCGTGGCGCTGGATTCATTCTCCTCACAGGCAATGATCAAAGGGAGGGCGGCCGCGAGCGCTCTTACCCCAAAATTATGCGTCGCGGTCCTGTGCCTCGCGAGCTTCTTCATCGGATTCTTCTCTCCCAGCAGGTATTCCATCGATTTGTTTGAGATTTTCTCCTTTGCACAGTCTAGATCTGTGTGTGCTGTGCTTGCATTGGGCTGCATTGCTTGGGTGAATCGAGCGAAAGTGTTGTTTACTTTTTTTACTTCTGGCAGTGGTAGAAAAAGACAGTCACAGGAAGGGTTATATTCCTTCTAGAGCTTGAATACGCAGAAAGGCGCCTGTGAAAGCTCGTGGTCACCCAGTGGAAGTGCTGCACACTACACGTTAAAAGCTTTGCTTCCACAGGATCTTAAGAACTTTTCTTTACTCCCATTAGATCTTCCTTCCGAGCGGTTCTCTTCCCAAAACTAATGTCAACATAGTTTTTTTTGTCTGTGCAGCAGATCAACGAGCCCAACAACGCTCTATAGAAGCGGGAGTGTTGGGAACGCTAGCATTAGGATCAAACAACGACCGAAAGCTCTCGTTGTGGTAGGAATAAACACTGCATTTACAAGCCGCAAGCGCAGAGACTCCGTGCGTGAGACGTGGATGCCCAGAGGCAAGTCAAGTTTTCTCTAAAGATTTTGGTTCCTTCTCCGTGGCTAAGTTTCTCTCGTACCAGGAGCGGAGCTCAAGAAACTGGAAAAGGAGAAAGGCATTGTTGTCAGATTTGTCGTTGGTCACAGGTAGGAACTTGTCTTGTGTTTCCTGTTTTCCTGATTATTTCGATCCTTAGTGCTACTCCAGGTGGAATTTTAGAGCGTACGATTGATGCTGAAGATGAGCTCTACTCGGACTTTCTCCGGCTGGTACATGCTACAACCCTTCAACATAAAACCATTTCTGATTACTTGGAATTCCAGGATGATCATATCGAAGGCTATCGTGAACTATCCGCCAAGACCAAAGCGTACTTTGCTACAGCCGTGTCGCTTTGGGATGCAGATTTCTACGTAAAAGTCGACGATGATGTTCATGTAAACTTGGGTAGGCCAGCTCTCGCTTTTCCTTAACAGCGTTTCACAGTTTTTGTGTGTCAGAAAAACTTGGGAAGACATTGGCACGTCACCGCTCGAAACCTGGTATTTATATTGGTTGCATGAAACATGGAGCTGTTCTTTCCCAGAAGTAAGCTTTGCCGCATTTGCTAATCCATGATCCTGTTCGTTTTCCATGAACTCAGGGGTGGGAAGTACTACGAGCCCGAGTTTCGAAAGTTTGGAGGAGATGGGAATAGATACTTCCAGCACGCAACGGGACAACTCTATGGCATCTCTCAGGATCTGGCAGCATATATCTTGGCGAACAAGTAAATCTCCTGTTTATTTGTTTCCAGTCCAGATTCTCATTTGGTTTCTCCACAGGGACATTCTCCACAGATATGCAAACGAGGATGTGTCACTGGGAGCTTGGCTCATCGGTTTAAACGTGAAGCACATCAATGACCGGAGCCTGTGCTGCGGAACTACAGGTGTGATCACTCGATCGTGTGAACTTCAACTTAAAAATCCCTCACAGATGAAGTTGGTTTGCCAGATTGCGAATCGAAGCTCCGAGCTGGAAATGCGTGCGTCGCTTCGTTCGATTGGTCGTGCAGTGGGATTTGTAGATCGGCCGCGAGAATGAGAGACGTCCATCGACGATGTGGAGAGCACAGCAACAGCACAGTAGCACGATAGCACGACTGTATATTCTTGTAGTATATTCCGCTTCAATGTGACCAAGATTCTTGCGTGGAATATGCGATCGAAATTCTAGGGTTTAGGGTTTGAGGGCGGGCGGAAGAGAATGGTGCGTGTTTCGTCGCGATGCTCGAGCAATGTGCTCAGATCTTTCATCTTCGCAGGTGAAGCAGGTTAAGAACGCTGTCAAGGCGGCCAAGCGCAAGCTCCACACTGGCAGGCGCGGGAATCCGGGGAATGCAGCGAAATACATTACTCGGAACAAGGCGCTCAATCGGCTCCAAATCAAGCTCCCCGAATTCAGGTATTTGGAGACGCTACTGGTTCTTATCTTGAAATCGTCAAATTTACACAGGCGGTTGTGCATTCTCAAGGGAATCCATCCCAGAGAACCAAAGAAAAAATTTGAAGGGCAGAACAAAACTTACTATCATGTCAAGGACATAAACTTCCTTCTGCACGAGCCACTCCTCGAGAAAAGCAGGTAATTCTTCCTATCCTTGGTTTTCTCTCTCTCTCTCTCTCTCTCTCTCTCTTTTACATTTTGTGACACTACTTACAGGGAGATTCGTGCTTACGAGAAGAAAATTACCAAGGCCAGGGCCAAATACAATGCAGACCTTGCGCATCGTTTGCAAAATAATCGGCCATCTTTCACACTTGATCATCTAGTCAAGGAGAGGTAAGAAGTAATTGTGTAATCTTCGTTAAAGATAGATATTTGTTGGTGTATCAGGTATCCTTCTTTCATTGATGCCGTTCGCGACTTGGAGGATCCTCTGACTATGATCCATTTGTTCGCTACTCTACCGGCTGACACAACCCATAGCGTTCCATTTGAGCGGGTCCATAGTTGTCGAAGGTATTAGACCATTCTTTTCCCTGAATCACGTAGTGATGTTTTGGTGGCAGGCTGAGTCTTGAATGGCAAGCATATGTTACGCGAACACACTCTTTACGGAAAATATTCGTCTCTGTAAAAGGGATCTACTATCAGGTGTGCTAAGTTTCAGTCTAAATTGATAGTGACCAATGGTTTTTTACTTTGCAGGTCGAAGTATCGGGCCAGAAGATCACGTACTTGACTCCACATGTTCTCAATCAGATTCTTCCGGAGGACGTCGACTTTCGGGTGATGCTTACATTTGCCGAGTTTTATGAGGTACTTCTTGCTGTTTTCTGTTTTTTCTCCTATTGATCAGCTTATCTTCTACAGACGCTTCTGGGTTTCGTCAATTTTAAACTTTACCATTCCCTGGGATTAAACTATCCTCCAGTTTTGGATCCTCGATTGGAGCAGGCTGCTGCAGGTTGTGAACTCTTACGTGAGTAAAATTTACGTTTAACGTCGTTTTGAACTTCCAGAACTCTATGCACTGATGAAGGACTTGGCTGGCGGAACTACATCTGCCCCTCTCTTGGAAGATGCCTCGGCGAAAGAAGACGATGCTCCTGTTTCTGTGGATGAACAGCAAAGCCTAATGGAAGCAGAAAACAAAGAGAAGAGGATAGCGGAGTCTCAAGCAAGACTAGCGTCTTTGCAAGATAGACTGAAGCAAATAGAGAAGGAGAAGGAGAAGCCACAAGACGTTCCAGTGCAAGTCAAAACTGAAGCTATGGACGTGGATGACGTTATCGAAGATGAGGATCTGGAAACACGGACCTGCAGGCGCTTGTTCCAAAATCTCACCTTCTTTTTGGGGAGAGAGGTAAACGATTGACTTCGTGTTTTTTCTTTCTTTTTCTAACGTTTGGACCTTCCAGGTTCCGAGGGAGTCGTTATTGTTTGTTATTCGTTCTTTCGGAGGTGCAGTATCCTGGGATGGAGATGGCGCCCCTTTTCCGGAAAATGACGAAGTCATTACACATCAGGTAACTTCATTCTCGTACGAGCTAGGCTGATCGTTTGTTCAATCACAGATTGTAGATCGCCCAACACAAGGACACAAATTTCTATCGAGGCATTATGTCCAGCCGCAATGGGTGTACGATTGTGCGAACAACAGGATCCTGCTGCCAACGGAGCCTTATCTCCTTGGAAGGTGAGTGATACTGCTCTGGTGGCTCGCGTCACTGAATCTAGAATGCCAGGATTCCTCCGCCGCACCTATCGCCGTTTGTGGATAACGAGGCGGAGGGACACGTTCCAGAGTACGCTGATACCATCAAAAGGCTGCGGCTTGCGGTGAACCAGCAGCTGGCGCCACTGCCAGGAAGTGAATCCGGGATCGATGAAGGTGAACTTTTGGTTGCGGCTGCTGCTCGGCGTCGGGAAGATCTTGAAGCCGAAAAGGAACGCGAGGTAGGACGTCTGGAAAACATTGCATTGTAAGCATTCTTGTGTGGTTTGCCTTTGCAGCTAGCTGCGATGGAGAAATCCTATGCCGAAGACTTGAGGAGAGAGCTGGCGGGGAAATCTTTCTCAGGAGAAGAGGAAGCTCTTGCGGATGTGCCAGAAAGTGAGGTCCTTCCGCCACCGAAAGAGGACGATCCCAAGGACATGGCGAAGATGATGTTGTCCAGGAACAAGAGAAATCTCTACCAAGCCATGGAGGTAAGACTTTTCTTCATTTTGTTTCTATGACAAGGCTACATTCTTGTGCTAATGACCTTGCTGCTACAGATGAGCAACACCAAGAAGAAGGAAGGAGTGAAGCTGATCAAGGAAAGGAAGCGAAAGGCTGACGAGAAAGAAAGAAAGAAGACTAGAACAATGTAGATCTACGAAGTATATTCACAAGAAGATTCCTTGGACAATATTTTAGGGCACTTCTTACCTGGACTGTGATCTAGCCGTCGAAGTCGTATGACGGCCCCGATTGTATCTTAAGCTTAAGAAGTGTTTAGGGTGACTGTCAGTGTGCCAGGCCGCTATAAATCCAGGCGCGAGCGAAGCTCACTTCAAAGCTTAGCCGGATCATTCCCTCGCCACTCACAGTAGCTGCGATTCCTTTCTTTTTGCGAGCAGCGACCGGATATGGATCCACATTCTTACGCAGATTTCTCGCAGCTCCTCACCGACAGCATCGCGCTCGATCTCTTCCTCGACTTTGAAAGGCGGATCATCGTCGGCAGCGCCGATTTCACCCTGCGCCAGGCGTTCTCCGGGGATTTCGTCCTCGACACACGAGATCTGCTCGTCCGGGGCGCCTTCGATTCCTCCTCGCCGGCCAAGAAGCCACTGGCATTCGATATTTCGAGCGAGCGGCACCCGATCAAGGGCCAGCGCCTCGTGCTCCATCTCCCCTCGCCGACGAGCCGCTTCTTGATCCTCTTCACCACATCGCCGCAAGCGTCCGCCCTCCAGTGGCTTGATCCATCGCAGGCCTCCTCCGGGAAGCACCCCTTCGTCTACACGCATTGCCAAGCTCTCCACGCGCGCTCCATCTTTCCCTGCCAGGACACGCCCTCGGCGCGATTCAGGTTCTCGGCGAGGATCAACATCCCCCAGGAGATGCGCGCGGTGATGTCCGCCGCGCATGTGGAGCGGCTGGAAGCGATCGCTCCCGGGCGCGCGGTCGAGGTTTTCGAGATGGAGCAGCCAATCCCGCCCTATCTCTTCGCTCTCGCGGCGGGAGAGATCGCCTGCGAGGAGCTGGGAGCTCGATCCAGGGTGTATGGCGAGCCGGGCATGGTGAAGGCGGCGGCGCAAGAGTTCGCGGCCACCGAGGGGATGATCGAACAGGCGGAGGCGCTGTTTGGGCCGTATGACTGGGAGAGATTCGACATGCTGGTGTTGCCGCCAAGCTTTCCCTATGGAGGGATGGAGAACCCGAGGATGGTGTTCTTGACGCCGACGGTGATCGTTGGCGATCGGAGCGGCGTCTCGGTGGTGGCACACGAGCTCGCTCACAGCTGGACCGGGAATCTCATCACTAATGCCTCCGCCAACGATTTCTGGCTCAACGAGGTGAGAATTCTCCCGCTTGCGTGATTCCAATTGTTTTGTTTAGATCATCTTTTTCTTTTCTTTTTGTTAATCTTGCCTGCCTCGAGCGGTCTTGTCTCTTTGATTGCTCGAGCATGCTTGGTACTACTGTTCTTGGTGTTTGATTGTAAATTATGATGAGGATGCTGACGTTAAAGAATGAATGGCGGTCTCTCAGGGATTCACCACCTATGCGGAAAGGCGGATCGTGGAAGTTTTGGACGGGAAGGAGCGGGTGGCCCTTCACTATGGGCTGGGATGGAACGGATGGGAAGAGGAGATCGAGCGATTCAAGGATAGGCCCGAGTTTACCAAGCTTAAGACCAACCAGGAGAATGTGGATCCCGACGAGGTATACTCCCAAGTTCCATACGAGAAAGGCTGCTTCTTTCTCAAGAGGCTCGAGGACGAGGTCAGTCGTCCGGCATTTGACGACTTTCTCGAACGCTACATCGCCAAGTTTCGCTTTACGTCGATCGACACGGAGACGTTCCTGGTGTTTCTGAGAGATTACTTCCCGGGGATTGATGAGAAAGTGAACGTCGATAGATGGATTTACGAGCCAGGCATGCCTCCCGACGCTCCGAAGCCAAAGTCTGGAATTCTGGAGAGAGTTTTGGGGATGGTGGCGGAATTCAAGTCCCAAAGCGAGAGTTACGATGAAGAAGCCTGGAAGAAGTACCTCGAGTCACTCAAGGAGGAAGTTTTGGGGTGGCAAGCTCTGGAGTGGCAAGTTTACCTCGAGAGCCTTCCAAAGAAAGTGGCGAGCGTGATGATACTCCGTGATCTGGACTCGGTGTTTCATCTGTCGAGGAGTCCCAACTGGGATCTCCGGGTTGCGTTCCTGGTGATTGCGGCCAACTCGGGTTTCCAGGCTTGCTACAATGACATCGAGCAGGCGCTGATGATGGTGGGAAGAATGCGGTACCTTCGTCCTCTCTACAGTGGTCTGCTGGACAGCAAGGACGAAGCCGGCATGGACCTTGCAAAGAAAGTATTTGCAGAGGCTCGTCCGAAGTATCATCCGATTGCTCGCTCGGTGGTGGAGGGATTGATGAAGGCGAAGGACGGGAAGAGCAATGATGGAAAGTTATATGAGCAGTGACTGGGTATCGAGGACCTCAAAGGT